CTGTACTGTACTTGTCCCTCTCATTCTGCACCACTACAAATACGTGCACGCGTTGCGTGTGTTTTGCTTGCTTCATGAGAGTTTCTGCATTAGATGAGTGGCTTTGGAAAATAAATCGCTGCAGGTTTCAGATGAAAAAGCGCGACTTCTATTTATGAAAATATCACAGTTAGGAGATTTATAGCGAGTGGTTCCTTACTAGTGGGTGCAGGACACTATAGGTCATTTATGTAAAGTGAGGATAGCAAAATAAACTAAACTGTGATATATTATACCCCAAAATTCTTCATACAGTGGACTACCAGTAAAATTGATACAAATTTGGGACCAAAAATTATTCAGACCGAGTCTGGGAAAAAACTGAAGTTCAGGTTTGCATGAACCTGGTTGACAGCATGCCCAGGAGACTATACGCTGTCATTAAGGCTAAGGGTCACCCAACAAAGTATTGATAGTTGTGTAAATATTGACAGCTGTATGAATAATTTTTGGTTTATTGTAATCCATTACATACCTAAGACACAGTTTAACTTCGAGTTCTTGCCATATTTTATTACCATTTTCTAAACTATAGCGAATAAACTGTGATAATGTGAGAAATGTTGAAGGTGTCTGAATACATTTTGGTTTGATTGTATCTATTTGATAAATTAAGTTAACCAACTAATATTATACATACTCTTTTGGTTTCTGTACCCAATATTTTAAAAAATTTACAAATGCAATGACAATTTTGGTATCGGTACTCGGTATCGGCAAGTACCAAAAATAAAAGTATCGGTATCGGGCGAGTACTGGAAAAAGTGGTATCGGTGCATCCCTACTGATAAGCAATATTAACGACGCTGTTGTTTACAATACAACCGGAGCACATGCCGCTGAGGTGAGGGATGGGACATTTAGAGGAGCACTAGAGGCGGTTTAACCAATCACAACACACTGGGCTAGCTAACCAATCAGAGCCCATCATCTATTTCTGAGGGTGGGGCTTCATAAAAGCAGGAAATGATCAGCACGTTTCTCAGAGGAGGGACAGAGCGGTGTGGATTAAAAGGTAAATAATGTGTTTGTTTGATTTTTTAAACGAAGCATTAGCACATGTTAGACATGTTAGAGTGTCTTTCTTTCAGTTTTTTTTTTTGTTTTGTTACTTGAGGTAGTAGCTACTATGATGCTTCTCTAGGGTAAATATTCATATCTCCTGGGGGAACAGCAAGGCTCTTAGAAGATGATTTGCCAGAGGATGTTGTTACTTGTATTTTGCAACTTACATAATCATTTGTTTGCATGGAGGTTAGTAAAAAACAACCACACATGCTTTGAACAAGTTAATTACTCTGTGCAACAAGACTTCCAACACAGAAGGGTGGGAGGATTGCCTTTGTTTAAATATACACAAACAACAAGACCGCATCTGACACTTATTTTTCCCCAGGTAAGTTAGGCTGGGTATGTTGCCAGCTTTTCAAATGAAGGATACAGTCTCAGGGCTCCACTCTGTGTGCCAATAGCCAGAATTTTCTGCACAGGGTCAAAAGCCATGGAAGAGGGTTGATTTGGAAAGCCATGTCGCACTGTCTGTGAAGCAGAAGATGATTTGCATTAAACTATAAACATGACAATGCTGTTCTTAAAGGCAAAGTTCAGTCAAAAATGAAAATTCTTGCTCACATTTTGAACAAAACCTGTGTTGACCATCAAGAGCACTATATTTGAAGTCTTCTGAAGCCAAAAGAACACTTTGTATGTGGAAATGACAGGAATGTAAGTGATTTGCTGATAATAATGTCCGTAACTAAACACACTGCACAAATTTGAAAAAATTGATTTTTTTCAGAAATTTCTCTTGTTGCTTTTTTTTTTTAAATGAAATAACCTATATTTCAATCTGTCCCTCATACGAAGCAGGGTTATTATCCTTAACTAATACTAAAACCATAGTTTTAAAAATAGTAAAATAACAATTAGCTGAAATAAAATAAAATATAAAAAACTTATTTTATTTCAGCTTGTTGCCAAGGCAACATTTCTCATTTTCATTTAGTTTAAGCTGAAATACCATTAAAAAGCTAAAATAAAAAAACCTATATAGACACTTAAACAATAATAATAATGAAAATGAAAAAAAAAAGTTAAAACTAAAACATACTAGACTAAATTGCTAAAACGTACTAAAATTAAAACTGAAAATATATCAATAAAAAATATATAGAATTAAAATCCATTTCAAAATTTTAACAAAAACTATAATAGAATATCAATTATACTAAAATAAAACTGATACAAAGATACCAGATTTCCTCAGAAGACTAGGAATATAAAGCAAGTTTAACATGCTTTTCTGGAGATTTACAGACATGTTATTGCATGCATGAAGCTCTACAAAAATTGTCTGTTTGTGTTCCATGGAAATACTCCATGGAGTTATTAACAACAATTTTTTGGCGAAAAATACACAGGAAACATGAATCCATGTCAATCATTTATAGCAAAAGAACCTGTGAAAGACCCGAGCAAAGAAAACATGATGTTGGTTAAACATTGCATATGCGGAAACATCCTTAGGTCAGTGCATATTCATGATATAGCCTAGTTTGATTAAGTCAATATATATGAGGGACGTTGATGGGCCTTGCAGATAACACCAAAACAAAAATGAACAATATATCCAACCATGTGGAGGAACACAAACAAGTAACAACAATTCAGGAAAACACAAATCATTCAAAGCTAGCAAGGCCTCTCTTCTTATTAGTGGCTTTAGTAATTAGGTGGGGGCCGGGGATTCCAATTAGGATTTAATTGGATAGAAATTAAAACAGATATTACAGATGAGGTTCAGACCACAGGATGCTGAGAAGCTGAAGTTGACAGCTGACTAACATCTGAATTACTGTGGTGGTACCATGGTACAGTGATGATATCAAATGTTAACACTTTACTTTAATATTTACCATGGTACTTAATGATTACCATATTCTTGTGCTCTGGTATTACAAGGACCTTTTATTTAGTGAGACCAACTGCTCACTCTGTGGCTAAATATTTGAGTAACGCTAGGTTAGTGTGGTCGTTTTCTGGGGACAGTCCTGGTTTTTGGTATCCTGTTCCCAAACATGGCCCCATTTAATGTCCCACAAATGTATACACTACAAAAAAAAACACAAAAGCCCAACCAATACAGCCTGCTGGTTACCAGAGCATTTGTGTAGTGACTACAATTACATATGCTGAGAACGCATATCTTAAATGCATAAGCCAAACCAAATAAAACGCCTAACCATAGAGATAGTAAGGATCCATACTCTCTTTAAAATTCCATAAAAAGTTGCAATTACGGCATACAGTAGATTCAATCTGAGAAAATGTAAATACTAAATATGTTGACATATTTCATTTTATCCATTAAACCATGTTTAAAAACATTTTGTGAAATAGTTTTAGTTATCAAACGTTCACTTCGTTTATTTCGTGTTTGTTAAGTCATAATTTTGCCATAAACATTGTTTTGAATGGTTATTATTTACTATTTTCATTGTTGGTGAACCCGTTAAAGCCAGTCTGAGCCACAAAAAAAAATCATAATAATTAAGAAACAAAACCATATAAAAATGTATTATAGATACTACCAAGCGAGATTGATAATTTTCACCCAAAATGAATAATTTTGTGTTAAAAAAAACTGAATAAATGATGACAGAATATACCTTTAATGATATTTTGATCACTTAACTAAACTAGGAAATACTATAATTCTAAAATACCGTCATCACTTTTAACCTGACTTATCTCAGGGATAAATTGAGTTAATACACAGTCCGCGAATTAGAACATGAACTATCCGTTCACACCATAGACTGAACAAAAACAGGTTCACACTAGCAAAGGAGCCGATTTGTTCTACAATCCGAATTAAACTGCATGACTAAACATTAAGCACAGGTATTTCTTGACAGACTAGACTGGCACGACTTTCCATATGACAGAAAGGAGTCTGTCGTTCTGAAGTCACCTCATACTAATTTGAATCAGTTCCGCTCGTTGCGCGTTAAATGAATTCGACTTAAAATAACCTCCACCGATTCGTCAACCTTCGACTCTGGCATCACGCGAGCGATTCATCTCGTGAACCGACCTTTGGGTTATTAATCCAGCCGGTGATGGCTAAAACCGACTCTGAGGTGATTTAAACGAGATGAAACCCGTCGTTTGAAACCTGCTTTTATAAGCGCTCTTCTCGCGCGTATTAGAATATTGAGGTGTTCTTCTCGCGCGTATTAGAATATGGAGGTGTTCTTCTCGCGCGTATTAGAATATTGAGGTGAGCTGGCGCCACTCAGCCCCCTTCATCCCCATCACCCCCCGCATGAGATCACAATAACTAATCCCACCTTGCAGAGCTGGAAATGCTCTGACTGCAGGGTCTCCTGAATCATGTCATTCTCCCTGTTTCCCGACTGAGGGGACGCGGCGGCCGAGGAGGAGGAAGAGGACGCCGCAGTCAAGCCGTCCAACACCTTCCTGATATTGAACTTCTTCATATTGCCTCCAGCAAATGCGAAACGAATGCAAAATGTGCATCAGCAGAGCGAGCATAAACAGAAGGTGGCGGAGACAGCCACACAAGCGCACTGTTGTTGTATTCGCCCTGATGTCTCACATGTCAGGCAGTGCTGTCAGCCCGTCTCGTGCGCGAGCGAATGTCATGATCCCACGCTCACTTCCTAAACACGGCCGCAGGGTCGAATCTCGAATGTCACTTCTTTTTCATTTTAATCGCGACACGGGCAGCGTAATCCAGTTAGATTCGGCCAATCTCGCTGTGTTCCGTTCCCTCCCCTCGGCTGGTTCCCCCCCGCTGCTAACGCGGAAACGCAGAGCGCTGCAATCACCGCGACGCGTCTGCGCTGTGGAGGCGACACCCGGATGTGCGGGAGAAACGCACTGACTCAGGATCAGCACGCTTGGCTGAGAACCAGAAATAAAAAGCTTTGCGAGTTTAGTATGTTTTCATGTCATTACATTGTTTAGAGCATAAGAAATAAATGGTAAAATAACATTTTTGAAAATTATATTTTATTTATATGCTATGCTATGTCCTCTGTAGAGGACACCAGGACTAAGTTTTTCTAAAAAAAATAAAATGACATGAGTAGAGTAGACATGAAAAGGCAAAAACAATGGGAATTTTTTTTAAATCACCAATCAATTTTTAGGTTTCAGGATTTTTTCATACCTAACTTTGTTTAAGGATGGTTCTCAACTATGTTATAAAATATATATAACAAAATGATTTGATATACCATTTTGCTTTATGAAATATGTGTGTAAAAATTCCATAAACTGGTTTTCCCATTAAGCACAATGTTATCTATACACTGTATCTAATTTGCATATTAAAGTGCTGTTGGGACAGCATGTTGTGTAATAATGGGAGTAGTAATTGGCCAGATTTTCACAATAATATCTAATATTTCATAAGAATATTGATATATAATTTGTTTTCCTATTCAATTATTTTGTCTCCCAAAATGTATAATAAACATGCTTTTAGTCCTGGTGTCCTCTACAGTGGACATGTATGAAATGATGTCCTGTTTCATAACAGGAAGTCATATTTTGATTTGAAACCCCATAACATTTTCCTGAGATGTTGATTTATGACAAACAATTTGAAAATTAATCAGGTTTAAATTGTAATTACAAAATATGATCCTATTTCCATAAGGATGTACAATTTTATCACTAAATTAATGTCAAGTGATAAAGACCTTTAAAGACCAAGGAGAGGGAGTGGTCACGGTGAAACATCCAATCATTTGGTATCTCTGGAAAGCCCTGCATGTGCTCTGTACAGGACTCCAGACTTACAACTGTGACATGTGAGGTCTCAGAGAAATTCACTAAAATATAATGTCCACTACAGAGGCAAAAACTCCATAGCTGGGTCTCAGGAGGATATAGCAGTTCTCTAAATCAGTGGTTCCCAACCCTGGTCCTGGAGGCACCCCAAAGCTGCACATTTTGCATGTCTCCTTTCTCTGACACACCAGTTTCAGGTCTTGGAGTCTCTACTAATGAGCTGATGAGCTGAATCAGGTGTGTTTGATTAAGGAGACATGCAAAACGTGCAGTGTTGGGGTGCCTCCAGGACCAGGGTTGGGAACCACTGAATAATACTAACCTTCGGGAAAGTCAACAGTTCCAACATTAGATGATGATTATGATGAAGATAAGGGCAATCACCGTGGCTTTAATCGGTTTCATTTTAGTACGCTCAATAATAATACAGTTATCTTGAATAAATATAATAAAAGCATCATTAAATAATATTTAATAAAATAATACTATTTAATTATATTTAAATTATTATATTATATATATATATATATATATATATATATATAGTATAATATCTAATTATAATAACACTTATTATTACCGTTGTTGTTGTTATTATTATATTTTATAAAATTAATAAAATAATGTTATTGAATTGTTAACATTTATTATTATTACCTAACAATATTTAATAAAGTAATAATATTTAGATTTAATGTAATAATATAATAAAATAATACTATTATATAGTAAAATGATAATATTTACATATATAATTAATTATATAGATAATTATAACGCTTATTAATATTAATAATAATAAACAATTTTGTAATAAAATAATACTATATAATGTTTTATTATTATTATTATTATTATTACTAACTATTTATTTATTTCAAATATAAATGTATATATTTTTTACTTTAATTAAAAGTGTAGACTAAAGCTAGAAAATCATACTTTTCCTCTCTCATTGTCCAGGAAAAAAAGATGAGTTATTTTACCCTTTCTGGCAACATAATCTGATGTGGGCCCTATTTGCAGTAGTTTTCACAAGGGGAATCTGCCATTATGCAGTCTATTATATTAAAATAAAATTAAGCAAAGAACAAATAAACATCAAAAATATAAAAGACAAACAAATAGGAAATATTCAGCCATTGTTTTGGACAACAGCTTATAAAATGAACATATAAAACGTGAAAGCCTTCCTTGACTCCCCCATCTGAAATTTATGAAAAACACTCTTGACCTGTACAACCTCTCATTTAAAATCCACCTGCAGTGCATTATACAGTAACTGACTAATGTCTTGGACAATTCACAAATATTAAAGAGAAAACAGATTTTTTTAAAAGAGCAATTGAACTGTAAAAGCCCAGTAAACCACAGAGTTGCTAAAATATTATGTAATTCCCTTAGCTATAAATATATATATTTACAACAATTTGCATTTAAGATTCCAGCTCAGAGTGCTTTAGAAAAGAGTGGAAATTAACAGTATAACTCAACAGTTTTCTCTCTGAGACAGAGTGATTTACAGTACTGGCTCATCAGGTCATCTGGGACTCTCAGTCTGGGTACAACATATTCTCAATGAAGCCTGTGGCAGACACATTTGGCCTCCTGTAATGGCTGCTTTTTCCGGATGCTTGGTAACACAGTCTCCACAGTCTCCTCTCAATGTCTCAGGAGTTTAATGATGTAATTTTCAATCCGACATTTATGCAGCATCTATGTAGAAAATATTATCAAATCCTAATACTGAGCCTACGTGATAAATGCAGTATATAATGCGTTTTGGGACAGTGGATCCAAATATAATTTGTATATTGGTTACTTTATTATCACAGTAGCTTTAATTCAATTCAAGTTTATTTGTATAGCGCTTTTCACGATACAAACTGTTGCAAAGCAATTTTACAGAAAATTACGTTTCTACAATATATTTAGTAGTAGCTTATCAGTGGTGAGTGGTGACTGTCAGTTAATGGCAGAAATGTAAGGAAAAATCAATTAAAGACGTAATCAAACAGACAATGAACACTATTAACAGTAATTATTATATGTTGCAATCAAACTTATAGCAAAATTGGGTAGTCCTGTATATTGTTTCAACCAAGCAAAATTGATTTGTTTAACCCAAGCTAAAGAATAATAATGTGCATTTGATCAGATATAACTGCAGTACAAGATTATGAGATGCATTATTTGAATGCTTGGCCAAAGAGATGTGTCTTTAATCTAGATTTAAACAGAGAGAGTGTGTCTGAACCCCGAACGTTATCAGGAAGGCTATTCCAGAGTTTGGGAGCCAAATGCGAAAAAGCTCTACCTCCTTTAGTGGACTTTGCTATCCTAGGTACTACCAAAAGTCCAGAATTTTGTGACCTTAGGGAGCGTGATGGATTGTAGCGTGGTAGAAGACTAGTTAGGTACACAGGAGCTAACCCATTAAGGGCTTTGTAGGTGAGTAATAATATTTTGTAACTAATACAGAAGGACTACCTGTAGCTTGTTTATTGAAGATGCAGGACAACCAGCTAGCAGTGCAATACAGTAGTCCAGTCTAGAGGTCATGAATGCATGAACTAGCTTTTCTGCATCAGAAACAGGTATCATGTTTCGTAACTTGGCAATGTTTCTAAGAAATTCTATTTTGCATGTCATTTTACAAGTTATATTATCAGCATAACAATATGAAATAAAGAAATGTATGTTAGTTAATGCATTAACTAGCAATGAGCGATACATTTGTTGCAGTATTTATTCATCTTTGTTAACATTAGTTAACTGTTGTTGTTAGTTTATATTAGCTCAAGTCTATTAAATAATATCAACATCATAACAAATGTTGAAATTAACATTAAGATTAATAGATGCTTTAAAAGTATTTTTCATTGTACGTTCATGTTAATTAACTAATGTTAACAAATGGAATATTAAAAAACTTTATGTTGAGCCTTTTCATGTTTTAAGATTTTGAATCCTAAAACCTCTTTCTGTTCATGAAAATCCCAGATTTTTAACATGGACCCCATTTATTGGTTTAACACAAAAACACATTTGAAGTGCACAAAGGTCGTGCATTGCATTGCAGCTTTTCATGTGTCCCGCGGACTCTCTTCTGTCCAGCTTCCCTCCTACCTGTGTGGTTCTCAGGCTCTGTACGTCAGCAGAGTCATCCGCTTCTCCATGAGAGCCATCTGCTCACGCACATGGAGCCGCAGCGTTACCCATCAGACACAAACTCTGCTCCTTTGTGTACCATGAAAGAGTTTGTTCAGGATAAGCTGTCATGTGTCTAGGGGAAAGTTGATGGAATATGTAAATGACTTATGAGTGCTTATGAATGCTGCAAATTACTCAAAATGACACACAAAGCAGACTGGAAAAGATTTAACATTCAGAAAAAAATTTGGCCCCCAAATTTCTTTGCAGTATCCAATGGGGAGCTGACAACAAGACTTATATAACAGTATTAATCTTAAAAATAAATCATCTTAATTCAAAGGGAAAACCAGTTTATTTGTCTTATTTTAAGTTATTTTCTTTCTTTTTTAAGCTTAAATTAATTTAACAAGCTTTAATATCTTATGTCATTTTGCTTCTCAAGTTAATGTATCTTTAAAATTGTTTAGATATTTGTACAGGAAAAAAGACAAAAAACAAAAAAATACTGCGTCTAACAGACATTCATTGGCTGACATAAATGCTAAAATTGCTTAAAATTATAAGTAGCTACTTTGAAAGAGTAGAATTCTGAAGTTTTTGAAATATATTATTCATGCAATATTTTTGTGTTTATTGTTAAATAAACTTTCCTTCACTCAGCCTCTGAAACTAGGTCTGAAGTATATAGGACACAGACTTTGTCTTTGATGGTTTTCCTCTAAGCAAAATATCCACTTCAAAAGCAACCAGAAACATTATAATGCATGTGCATCCATTAGAGCTGAATATTTCAAGCAGCATGAATCAGTCACATTTCATACAAAGTACCAAAGAGTTGCTAAAAGTTTCCTTTCTTAAGATCTCTTAAGAACTCTTAGGCTTCAT